CACCGCCACCCACTGTGAAAATATTTCATTTTGAAAAGACTTCACCACTACCACGCCCAACCCCTCCTTCCACAGCACCATTATGAAATTTGGGTAGTACCGTTCATTGTGATTCATGAAAAAGACAAGCTCTCCTTTGGGTTTGTAGTCCTTTGTGTCATGCCCCAGAATGAAGTGCCTTTTCCCTGTAGGGCCCAGAGTACTCAGGCCCCTGAGCGGCCTGGCCCCTCAGCCGCAGCAGGGGCAGGCCTGGGGGTCTGTTGGAAATGCCCAGTCTCAGCTCCACCCCACACCTACCTGCATAATTCGCCGCTGCTCAGTAGCAGGATCCCCAGGGCATTTGGGTGCTAAGTAACAGTTGCATCTTTCTGCATTTTAGAATCGCTGCGAATAGCTGGAGAGGCCGGCTTGATTTCTGGGCCCCAACCCAGAGATTCCGATTCCAGGTCTACCCGGGGGCCCAAGAATTCACATTTCCAGCACATTCTTAGGTGATGCTGCTGCTACTGGTCCGTGAACCGCATTTCATTTCAAACGGCCCCATTCTGGAGGTTTCCTAGGTCGCAGCTTGAACGTGTGTGTGCCGCCACTTACAGGACTCTTGGACCTGGCAAAGGCCATGGCTCGTCTTTTAGACGGGAAATGAATAATCCAAGGAGGGTACAGTATTTCGGTCTGAAGAGGAGAGAGAAGCCTGCTGTAACAAACAGACCTCATAGTTTTTCTTGTTCAAACAATAAAAGTTTATTTCTTGCTCCCACCGTGCACCCATCCCGAGTTGTCGGAGGGCTGGGCTCTGCGCAATCACTCTGGGGCCCGACTTAACGGAGGCTCTGCCGCCCTGCAGATGCACCGTCTGAGGGTGTGGCTCCCAGCACTGCAGGGGGAGAGGGGTCTTGGAGGCTCCACATCTGCTCTTCACCATCTCCTGTGGAAGCAGCACACGCCCCTTCCGCTTCCTGAACCAGCCCCGTGGCCCAACTCCAGGAGAGACCGGAAAGTTCCCCCGTGCCGGGAAGGAGGGAAGAACCGGCCAGCGAACCCCAGCAACTCCCAGCAGATGGAAAGTCAAGATTCCCAGCAGAGTAAGGGTAGACCAGGGTCCAGCGTCCTTAGCTCCTGTCTCCCACTCTCCACCCGGCTAAGGCCCTTGTCTCCGTCCCCAAACCTCACATGAGCCAGTCTCCCTGGACGTCACAGAGACAGAAGGGATCATCCGTTCAGTCAACACACGACTCGAAAACCTCTGTGTCAGGCGCTAGGCAGACATGGTGTCCAGCCTCTCAGAGTTCACAGCCAAATTAGGGAAACTGACACTAAAGCCAGACTGCAAAAAAAATAATAATTATACAAGCTCAGTTGTGAGGAATGCTATGAAAGACAAGGTCTGAGTAAAGGGACATGACCCGGTCAGGAAGCACAAGGATCTAGACCAGGCCCAGAAAGAGGAAGAGGAGCCAAGCAGGGGGAGGGGAGGGGAGGGGAGGAGGTGGAGCACGAGGAGCTGAAACATTCTCAGAAGTGGGAGGGGGAAGGGAGAGGAGGCTGGACCAGGTCCTGCACGTCTGCACTTTTGGATTCTATCCTGAGTGCATTCACATGCTCTGAAAGGGTTTTCAGTGGGGAAGTGACATAGATTTATAGCTTAGTAATAATAATCACTAATATTTATTGAACAGCATGCACACATTATTTATTTAATCCTCACAATTAGCCCAGGTGATGGGTAATGTTTGTTATTATCACGCTGTTTCAGATGGGAAAACTGCAGCTAAGAAAGATGAAGTAACTTGCCCAAGGTGGCATTGCTGGAAGAGGTGGAGCCAGAGTTTACACCTCCAGAGCCACAGACTTGACCCCTTGCCACAGAACACCCCCTCTGGGTGCCACAGCCAGAGGAAACCAGTTGGGGCTCTTCTGGTCATCCCGACAGGAAGAGGCGGAAGCTTAGACAGTGGGCTGGGAAAAAGTAGAGGGATTCCAGATAAATGAGCTGTAATGCAAGAGGCTGCTTGAGTACAAGTGGGAGGAAAAGCCCAGGTTTCCAGCTTAGGCTGCTGGGTGGATGGCCGGTCATTACTGAAAACAAACAGGAGGAACAGGTCTGAAAGAGCACCTTAGATGTCCCTGTAATTAGTATGATGCCTTGCCTGGCTTATCACTGTGCAGTTATCAAAACTCAGCCAGAAGAGGTCAAGTCCAGAGGTCAGCTAAGGAAGGGAGGGGTAGATGAGCACAGGTTTGCCAGGCCAGGCACCCAGCGAACAGGAGGATGAGGGGCAGAGATGCTTGGCGCTGTTTGGGTAAAGGCCCTAAAATCCAAAGGCCACAGGTGCCAGGCAGGTAGCACGAGGGAAGAGGGCTGGGTGTGAGACTGGGCGCACACAGAGCAAACTGCAGGTACCTGCCCTGCCCAGAGGCACTGTCCCTCCTTATCTCCCGCTGATGGTGGCCACTTGGATCTGTGGGGGCCAGTGGGCAGGGCCAGGTCACAGTCACAGGGCCCATGATATGGTTGGACTGATTTAATCTTCATTCAACCCATCAGGCAGGTGCACTGTTACTGCCCCCAGATCTTCCAATGTGTTGAGAAGCCGAGGATCCAAGTTAGGGGACGTTTTCTGAATTTTAAACGTTGGTCATCCGTGCTTAAAACTGTAAAAAGAAAAGCAAAGAAAACATGCAGTCAAACAAAGCCTCCCAGCCTCGGACGTGGCCTCTGGGTGATCCGTCTCTTTGGGAAATCGGGCCCCAGGCCAGGTGCCCGAGGTGCCAAAATGGACAGATCTAGACTCATCCAGGGACTGGAGATGGATCCTCTGCATCTTGGGAAAGGAGCACACCCGCAGCTGGGGGACAGCGGACACACGACACACCTGCTCTGTGTGCTTGTATGCAGGGTGGGGCTTCTAAGAGGCTTGTAAAATAAACAGTAGGGGCAGGAGAAGGAATTCTCCGGAAACTTGGCTTCTTTTGTAATGGCACATGTGATTGTAAGGAATGTCTTATCAGCCTATAAATGGCACCTGTGTGGTTTTTTTTTTTTTTTTTTTTTTTTGATGTTGAATAAATAAATGAATAAATCGTCACAGGAAATGGGAATTCATTGGTGAGGTTGTAAGCAAGCACTTTTTTTTTTTTTTTTTTTTTTTTAGCAAGGCATCTTGATGGGTAAGAACCAAGCTTTAAGCAGGTATCATCGGGGCCCAGTTTGCTTTGCTGCATTTTGTAGCCGTTCATTTCACCCCACCAATCACTACCCGCCATTTTGCCAAGTTATAATTCTACTGTCGTTGTTGTTTTTTTTAAGCATTGCTCATTTTAGAAAGCTGTCTGTCAAAAACGCTTAAAATAAAAACAGCCTTTGCGCTTGAAAGTCATTTGGGTAAGAATTTCTCAGCAATGTTGGATATGTGAACCGTTGCTGTATTTGCAAGAAAGCCAGTACAGGTGTTTCTGGTATGTGGCCTTTGATGAGTGGCCATTTTTAAGTTTATTTCTTTATTCAACAAATATGTGTTGAGCACCTGCTAGATGCCAGGTGATATCCTAGGCCTTGGGGACACAGCATGAACTGGATGAGCGTGATCCCTCCCTGCACAGAGCTGATCGTCCAGCGGGGTTCACCAGCTGCCAGGCAGGCCACGAAAGTCCAGAAGGAAAGAGGGCCAGTCCAGGGGCCGGGGAGAGCAGAAGAGAGGGGGCAGGCGGGCCTGAGGCACGGCTGGAGGGTAAGCACTTCACATGCATGACCATTTTATCCCAGGGGAAATCGCATCTTAGAGGTTCGGTGACCTGGGGAGCCTGCATCCTCACTCTTCAGGGTGTAGCCTCTCTGGCCTTGGGTGTGGACACACAGCCGGACTAATTTCTGGATCATTTGCAACTCCTCGTGCGGGACCTGGACCAGCCCTGCTGGTTTCCACCTGGTCAGTTTGCTTAACTGCTGCCAAGGCCCGTCAGCACACTGTGTTCTCTCTTGTTCACAAAGTTAATCATTTTATGGGTTTTTTTTTGTTTGTTTCGTTTTGCTTTTTGACCACAACATTTGTAATGGCAAGACCCCTAATGAAGACAATGAAATAAACCATGAGTTTGAACACAGCTATCAAATTAGGAATAATCTGTTAATTTGGTGATGGATGGCAGGCATTAGCAATCCATGGTGTCATCAAATTTCAGAACTACAGGGGATCTTAGACGAACCCTTTGCTTTTCAGGAGGGACACTGAGACCTAGAGGGATTGAGTAGTTGGATCAGGTCAGCAGACAGCTGGGACTTAAACCTAGTGCACTTTGTATCTGGTCCCCAGATGCCTCTAGTGAACTTAAAGCAGTCATGCCCTTGGCCTTACTGGGGGAGTTATGGGTCAGTGGGTATGGCCCACTAGACCACAGCTTTCAGGGAGCTGGTCAGACAGGGGACCACACTGGGAGTGACACGGCTTTTCAGAAAGGTAACGGTAGGATCTGTGAGGCCTCAGGGGAAAGATCATCAGAAATGATCAGGGCCACAGTCACAGAATCTGTATGGCTACAAATTATAAGCCAGAATGGGAATTAAAGGAAGTAGAAAGCCCAGTTACGCCGGCAGGAAAACTTCCTGGGTAAAGATGAAGTCGAATATGGACAGTTGGAAACGAGCCTCTGCGTCCAGGCAGTGTTTCATGCAGTGGCGGGGCTTATAAAGCCCGCTGTGATCTGCCATCTCTTTACCTCTCCACTGACCTCTGGCCACGCCTCTCTCCGGTGCTGCAGCCTGTCTGGAGTTGCTGGAAGGTTCCACACTTCGCTTGCTTCCTGAATACCTGTGTCCTGTCTGCTTACAACGCACCTCCCCTCCCTTCCCTGCCCCCAACTTTGCTAACTAATTTTCAACCTTCAGATTTTATTAGATGTCTTTTCCTCCACGAGATGTCACATAAAAAGAGCGCCTTCATCTTGTTTTCTCTGTGCTCGTTCTGAGTAGCTCTAACCCAGGCATTGTCCTTGGTTCCCAGGTGACGGACCATGCCACCACCGCCCTGCTCCACTACCAGCTGCCCCAGATGCCTGACGTCGTGGTCCGATCGTTCATGGTAAGTGGCTTAAGGAGTCAAATCTCCCCCTTGAGCCTTGGCTCCTTAAGTGAGAACAGGCAGCTCGGAAGGTAGCTGGACCGTCTTTAGCTCGCAAGGGCCTCGCAGCGGGGAGACGGTCCAGTTTGGATGCTTCCTTTCAACTGGGAAGAGATCTAGGAGAAACCATGTCCTGCTTAATTAGCTGGTGTTTCCTATCGTTGCCGAGCACATGGTGGTTTCAGAAGTGACCTTCCAGCACAGTTTCCAACGTTGATTTAGTCAGTAGGTATTTATCGAGCTCCTGATCTGTGCTGGGCCCTATGCTTGGCGCTATGCTTGAGCAGGTACCGTGACACCGTTCCTCCAAGACCCCTACTCCTTAGACTTCCAGGTCAGAGCTCAGGATGGGGAGTGACCCAGAAACAGCCATCCCCCCGGTGTGCTGGGGTCGGCTCCCGCCAGCTCTCGTTTAATGTCCAGAATTTCTCGAGCTGGTTGTTTGGCCGTCGGTGACTTGACATTGAACCAGAATATTCACGTGCTGGAGATCGGTCCTGCACGTCAGGACTCCCCTCCGCCCCCGGCTCCCACCCCTGGAGCCAATTCATTGATTGATCACATGCCCGCCAGTCCGTCTCAGCAGCACCAACAACTGGCCCCACCATATCCTGGCAGACGTGGCCAGCTGTTTCAGCGCCACGCTGACGGGGCTTCGTGCTCTCTCGTCGCTAGGCTCCGTCTCTCCCTGCCGCTAACGCTCCCATCTCAACTCCGGCCAGTAAGGCTGCCCCATCTCAACTCCGGCCGGTAAGGCTGCCCGTTAGAGAACACACTCAGCAAATGGGCCCATCAGCAAGCGCTGCTCAGGTCCGACAGCCAGGCGGAGTTCTGCTCGTCCGATCCACCTCGTCACGTTCGCTGCTGCGGTTAAGCTTCCAGGAGCCTGTAGCTCATTCCTCAGAAAATACAGCCCGGCTCATTGATGGGCTCACACACTGGGGAGGCCGAAGAAGCAGACCTGGGGCTCAGCGGAGCCGCCGCACAGAGGCTCTCTCGTGTAGAGAGAGCTATTTCAGTTGGCGATCTCTAGGGGGCGCTTCCTTTTTGGATGGATCGAAAGACTTGCTCTTTAACCTGACGTGTGGCAATGCCCAGTTCCCCTTTGGTAACTGACTTTGGGGTTTGGGAAGAATAAATAGTTTGAATGATCCACTGACATCCTCATGTTTATTGCCAAAACTTTGAACCCTAGCCTCTGGAAGGGGGACAGGGTGGGTGAGCCACGGTCTGCCACCAGGAAGGCAGCTGTGCTGAAGCAGAAGCGTTTGTATCCGTCCGCTCGGCCGACCTCTCCGAAGAGCAGTTTCCTCTTGCCTGATTCAGGAGGATGTTAAATGACAAGATTCGCACACCCCCGTCACAGTGGGAGCTTGTCTCGCTCGCCTCACTCGCTGGCCTGTTGCTGTGGGCTTGGGTTGGTACGGTTGTGAGTCTCCTTGAGTTTGAGAATTGAGTCATGAGAGTCTCATCCTTATGTATGATGCCCGAAGGACCTCTGCACCCTGAACCCCTCCGGTGTGTACTTGCCGTTTATTATGTTATTTGGTGGCACCAAGTTGTCCCTGCCCTCCCCCCAGGTGTGTCGGGCCACGCTGTGACAGTGAGTGGTGACCTCTGAAATCAGATCAGAAAGAAGGCACGTTGACCTTAGTGGGGAATTCTCCACTCACCCTCTCTCCGCGCACGTCTGTGGCCACCTCTGGGTGGTGAATAAGGAGAGGATCAATGCTGACGTTCGGGACTCAGATGAAATGTGGTTATGCCCCCGCCGGGCCACGAGGCTGCGCCGTAGTTCACGGCCGCTCCTCCGGGAGTGCCGCCTGCCTGAGAGTAGGGATTTCTATTTTAAAATTCCCTTAGTTGGGAGGGGCCCAGGGCACCAGAACTGAGAATCAGCAGTGCTGTGACCTTGTGGATTCTGCACAGAGCTTTCTGTAAAATCACAGGGCACCTCTTGGGGGGTCACAGCCAACTCAGGCTCTCTATCCTGGTGATGGTTAGGCTTGACAGGAAGGATGACATTGGAAGCACCCGGATCCCATTTCTGTCATTTCTCTCCTCACTTCTCTTTTTAGACCTGGTTAAGAAGTTACATAAAGCTGTTCCAGGCCCCGTGCCAGCGCTGCGGGAAGTTTCTGCAAGATGGCCTTCCCCCGACGTGGAGGGATTTCCGAACCCTCGAAGCCTTCCACGACACCTGCCGGCAGTAACCCTGCCCCAGCCCCGGGCCAGCCCGCAGACCCCCATCCAGCACCTTCCCAGACAAGCCCTCAGTCATAGCGATGGCTCAGACGTGTCTTTGCGGCCCGGATAGCAGTACCACCGCCCGCTTGCTTCCGCAAAACAGCATGTCGTGCGCTAAGGCCGAGCTTCTTGAAGAGCAGACTCCATCTCTGTTAATGGGACTGTTGTACACCTGAGCTGGCGCGTGGACGGCAAAGGGACCGTCTTAGGACGCACTATAAGGAAGTTAGGCAGCATGTTCTCCCGTGTATGTTCGCAATACTAGTCCATCGACCCGCCTGGATCCATGTTCTAAGTCATTTTATAGTTGGAATGAGCCTTTGTGTCGTGTTCAGTTTTTTGTTTTGTTCCATAACTTATTTTTATAAGCAATAAACCTTTTGTACCCAGGACAAGGCTTTGTCTCCGGTTTCTTAAAGCACCTTTTACGTTCAGTTCCGTGAGCATGTGAGCAGATCTGGGCCTTTTGAAGGAAAAATAACTTAGTAATGTCTGCATTTGAAATAATTCTTTTTTTTTTTTTTTTTTGCGGTACGCGGGCCTCTCACTGTTGTGGCCTCTCCTGTTGCGGAGCACAGGCTCCGGACGCGCAGGCTCAGCGGCCATGGCTCACGGGCCCAGCCACTCCGCGGCATGTGGGATCTTCCCGGACCGGGGCACGAACCCGTGTCCCCTGCATCGGCAGGCGGACTCTCAACCACTGCGCCACCAGGGAAGCCCTGAAATAATTCTTTTTGAGGACACATTTCCCTGTTTCTTGCTTTCAGGAGAGAGAGAAGTGTTGGCAAATATTCCATTTCAAAGACCGGCTTGAAAAATGGATTGTTCTTTTTGAGGGAAAAAGTACACAGATGTTTCATTTTACTAAACCATTCACACATACATATACCAAAGGGAAAGGACTCTTCCTGTGTTACCAGCCAGAACACGTGTGAGCGGGCGGGACAGGTGTGCCTGGCTTGTTTGTCCCATTTTGTCCTAAATATTACCGTGAACAGATTCCAGCCCAGTCTGCTGAGTTTATTCAGGGCCTCGCCCCTGACATTTTTTTTTTTTTTTTTTTTTTT